GGGCACAGGTGGGGGGGGAGGGCTGGCACTGAGGCGTGGTAACAGTGGGCCTGGGGGAAGGACGGGGTGGTGGGAGTGGAGCGAAGCTGTCCAGTCCCAGAAGGATGCGGCCCCCCCGCGGGGGAGCAGGCGGCACGCACGGTCAGTCACTGCTCCTCCTCCGAGGACTCCTGCGAGATGCGAGGACTCCTCTTCCTCCTTCTCCAGTTTTTTGGGTCTGCCCCTTGGTTTTCTTCCTGGAGCTGTGGTGGTTTTCCGGATCTTGGCAGCACCCTTGTTTTTGCTTCCCTTTGGTCGGCCCCGAGGTCTCTTAGGTGTTGGCACTTCGCTGGCCTCCTTCGGAGGCTGCTTGCACAGCCTGCCCCGGCCTCACTTCTCGGTGCCGTCCTTTTTCTGCTTGGAGGCCAAGGGCTGGCTAGACTTCAAGCTAGACTCACTCATCTTCCTTTCTCTGAAGCAGGTGGGAGAGTGATGGCTGGAATGGCCTTCTTGGAGCCGCGCCAGTGCCAGAAATAGCCCCGACTCGGAGTCCCAATTAGAGGGATACTTATTTTTTAAGTAGACTTGTGAGGAGAAAGAATTGCAACAAGTGAAGCTGGGCCATGTATAGACACACACAGTGACATCCAGAAGCGAGTTAGAAGGCCCCAGACCTCTCTCTTTGTGACTCAGTCAGGTCTAGTGGCTCGACTTGACACACAGATTTGGCTTTCTGCAATAAATTCCGATAAACACCGTGTCCTGTGATGAGCACAGTGTTAGTAAATACAGCTTATCTTAGTGAACACACGGAGTAAGTGTTGTAAGAGATGGCAGTGACCCTTTGAATCAGAACATCACAAGGGAACATCTTGCCAGCTATAGGAGACAAATTTAAATGTACAAATTTTTTTTTTTGTCAACACAGAGCTTTTCCTTGAACACTGTCATCTACTAACAGTATCTAAGCCACAATTTCATTGAAATTTCCGTGAGACGGTTTAGTTCCATGGATTTCATAACAAAAAGTTAAATGTACAAAATTTAAAAATCAAAAGGAAGCTACAGAATAAATACAAACCCAGTAATACTGGGTATTTAGCCCCTGCTGGCTAACGATTCTGTGCTTGGTGTTTTTAGCATTTGTGTCTGGTAAACATTTCCTGGCTTTTATTGTGTTCACGAAAGACATGTAATATTCTCAAAGCCTCTTCGTCCATGTCCCCCTGGGCTGGCAGGGATGAACTACCATCTGGGCTCATAGCCCCTGTCTTCAGTTATAGTTTCCAGTCAAGGTGGAACAAAGACTGGAGCTTGTCCTGTTCTGTTTCCATGCCCTTCTCTCACAGAGCTGCTGGATTAAAAGCTGTCATTCCCATTTTAGATGAACAAGAATAAGATATTTTATTTTTGGTGGCTGGGAATTTCACGCTGTTTCCCGGACTGGAGTGCAGTGGCACGATCACAGCTTACAGCAGCCTCTACCTCCTGGGCTCAGGTGATCCTTCCACCTCAGCCTCCCGAGTAGCTGAGACTACAGGTCATGCCACCACACCCAGCTAATTTTTTTGTGTGTGGTAGAGATGAGGTTTTGCTAAGTTGCCCAGGTTGGTCTTGAACTGGGCTCAAGCAATCCTCTCGCCTCAGCCTCCCAAAGTGCTGGGGTTACAAGCATGAGCCACCCCATCCAGCCGAAGAGACTTTTAATAAAAGAATAGTAAAGAGACATACAGTTTGGAAGAGGTGGAGGTGAGTGTTCCCCAGGTCTGCCTGAGTCTGAACCTAAGCTCAGCCCCACAAGGGATGCCAAGGCTTACTTGACAGAAAAAAGCCTGGGTTTGAAATCTGGTATCCCTGAGTTCAAGTCCTGCCTCCACTACTCATGGGTGTCCCTCACACTGCCTCTAGGCTTCCTCCATTGTGAGTTAGGAATGGCAGTACTCTCTGGGGTGACATGAGGACTGAACGACTGCCATAGGGAAACTTTCTCAGAATATGCCAGTGGCTCGGGATGTGTCATCCAGGGTCGTGTTTCTCTCTGGTGCCCAAACATTGCTGTTTCTGTTCCAGCGTCACCTCTTAAGAGTTGACCAAGGCCATGTGCCGTGGCTCATGCCTATAACCCCAGCTCTTGGGGAGGTGGAGGCAAGAGGATTGCCTGAGCTCAGGGGTTCAAGACCAGCCTGAGCAACATAGCGAGACTGCATCTCTATAATAAGTCAAAAATTAGCTGGGCATGGTGGCACACGCCTATCATTCCAGCTACTTGGAAGGCTGAGGCAGAAAGATCACCTAAGCCCAACAGGCCAAGGCTGCGGTGGCTGTGAGCATGACAATGCACTCCAGCCTGGGTGACAGAGTAAGAAAAATAAAAATAAAAAAGAGAGCTGACCAAGATACCCAGCTTGGTAGACCCTCATCGGGGAAAGTTGCCCAACCACTGTCTTAGTCCTTGTGGTCTTCCAGACTATGCCAGAGAGCAGCTGAGGGAAACTCCTCAGCTCCGCGTCAGAGGGTTGCCTCTGGTTCCAAGAGGCTACCTGAGCAGAGGAAGGTTCAGATCTCTCCATCCCTTCCCAGCTGTGTGACCTTGGACAAATGACTGGCTTCTCTGAACTAGTTTCTACTGTGAGATGGACACAGCTCACTTGGCACATCTTGGTCGTGAGGGTTAAGCAACATCCCGCCCACAAGGGACTGTGTCTGGCAACAAAGTGGGGACTTCCCTAATAGTGTGGTGACGTCTTCCTGTCTTTGGAAGGATGGAAGGTGCGAGGTTGCCGAGGGCCCAAGGGTTGGCTCTGAGGTCTTAGCCAGCAGTCTCAGCTGAGCCCTGGCAGCTGGTTTAGGGGTGACTTGACGGGGACGGCTAGGTAAGTGGGGTGTCTCTTGGTCGGGATCCTGAAGCTCATATCCAAGATGGAGCATGTGGAGGAGGGTGTGGCTGCCATGAGGAGGAAGGCTTAGGGCACCCCAGGTCACACTGAGGAGATGATGCAACACCTGCTTGAGCCGTTGGATGCAGCTGCTGCCAGACCCCGAGAGCCCCCTGCTGCCCCTGCCCACTCCACTTGGGACAGTGGAAGCCAATAGCCAGATGTATAGCCCAGTAGGAGCCCAGTCTTGAAGTAGCCCAGTCTGTGCCTCAGGGCACAGGTCTGGATGGCAGCTCTGGCAGCTGGTGCTCTCTAGAAGCAGCCTGGAGGGACCTTGGTTAGTGCATCTCAGAGCAGCTGCTAGGAGGGAACCTTCACCCACAGGACAATCCGGGGCAGTAGTCAGGAGAGCCTCCTTCAGCCATACTTCTTGGGGTCCAATCTTGGACAAAGCACTCAGTCCCTCTGGGCCGCAATGCCTCCATCTGTGAGTGACCCACAGAAGGTTGTATGAGGAGACAGGGAGTCAGGTCATTGTGACCAGGACCAAGTGAGTGCCGGTAGAGGTGAGCTGGGATGTTCCGCCCTTACCTTTGCCCTTCCCCACACAAGGGCTGTAAAGGACAGACTCGCTGACTTAATGCCTGGCTTGAGGACATCGCCATCACCCCCTCTCCTCTCAGACACATGGGAGGAGTGCGGCCCCAGGCTCCTGGGCTTGACTGAACTCCCTGACTCTCCTAAGGCTGTCCTGAGTGTTATTACATGATGCTTAAAAGTCCCAACACTGAATGACATTTCTCCAAAGAAAGTACTCAAGGCCAGATATGGTTGCTCAAGCCTGTAATCCCAGGACTTTGGGAGGCCAAGGCGAGAGAATTGCTTGAGCTCAGGGGTTTGAGACCAGCCTGGACAACTTGGTGAGACCTCTTCTCTACAATGAATAAAAAACAAACTGGGTGTGGTAGAGCATGCGTGTAGTTCCAACTACTTGGCAGGCTGAGGCAGAAGGATCACCTGAGCCCTGCAGGTCGAGGCTGCGGTGACCATGAGCATGCCACTGCACTCCAACCTGGGCAACAGAGTGAGATTCTGACTCAAAAAAAAGAAAGAAAATGCTCAAATACTGCTGGATGCAGTGGCTCACACCTATAATCCCAGCACTTTGGGAGGCCGAGGCAGGAGGATCACAAAAATCAAAAGATTAGCCGGGCAAAGTGGTGCACTTTGGTTGAGGCTGCGGTGAGCTGTGATCATGCCACTGTGCTCCAGCCTGAGCAACAGAGTGAGACCTCAACTCAAAAAACAAAAAGCACTTTGGAAGCCCCAGTTTGTAGTATTACATTTGTAGTACCATGGTGTTTATAAACTCTGACATGGCCCACAAATGTAAGGGAGTTATTCTTCCCCGAATTCTAGCCCATAGTGTGTCCCCATGTCACCGCTGGGGCGATGTGCTATGTCCACTGCTGTTCAGACTTCTTTCCGGTGTCAGTGTGTTCCTCATACCATGAACTGCCGAGTGCTTTGTGCTCCATGTCCACAATGCAGGGGACCTCCAAGATGGGGGAGAAGGGACCTTTTTGCCTGTCAAGGTGGGTGTCAAGCTCGGTACAGTGTGGGGGCCTTACTCCTGTCTCCAGGCTGTATCGTCCCCTTCAACTCCTGGCCAGGGCCTCACTCTGCTAATAAGTGGTGACACAGGTCCATAGGGTACTGGAGCACTTAAGCAGGGGGAGATATCAAAGAGGAGTTCTATCTTTCTTATGAAGCCCGGGTCCCTGGTTGGCTCAGATTTTATTCACCCACTGGCTATGTTGTGGGTTAGAGACTTTCGGTTTTCTGGCTGAGTAATTCACGCCAATATGTGACAAGTGCTGATCATGCCTCTTTCCCACCCCCTTTCTTTCCTATACAGGGAGCACATTGGGAAAAAGAAATCTGGTAAGAATATTTTTTATTTCTTCTCTTCATTCAGTGTTCAGCACATTCCTACTGAGTACCTACTGTGTGCCAGACTCTGGGCTCCACTCTGGGGGTGGATGGGTGGGTGGGTGGATGGATGGATGGATGGATGGATGGATGGATGGATGGATGGATGGATGGATGGGTTGGTGGGTGGGTAGGTGGATGGATGGGTAGGTCAGTGGGTGGGTGGACAGGTGGATGAGTCAGTGGGCAGGTGGGTGGATGGATGGATGGATCGACGGATGGGTCGGTGGATAGATGGATGGATGGATGAATGGGTCGGTGGGTGGATGGATAGATGCATGGATGGATGGATAGGTGGGTGGATGGGTGGGTTAATGCTTGATTGATTGATTGGTACCCCATCCTGTTCTCAAAGATAGGATTCAAGATTATTTCATCCTATACCAAAAACTAGCAAGTGGATAAGATGTGATGTCTTTCCCTGAGAATGCCTTTGTGGAGGAGAGATAGACCTCTTCCTAACCCTGCAGTAAGGTATTCAATGCCTTTGTTCCTCTTTATACAGAGTAATGTGGAGGCTAAGAACTAAGAACATTCTCAGGGAGAATGGCAAGGGGTGAGAAAGGAAGAGCCCTGGGTCTTGAAGAATGAGCAGGAGCTTTCTGTGCAGTGGGGGGCACTCAGGGCTGGGGGACAACTGGGACATGGACTGGGAGGTGACACTGCAGTAGATTTGGTCCTGGTCTGTTTAACGGCCTAGGCACCAGGTCCCAGCTCCATTCTTAGCAACGATGGGGCAAGGTTAGCAATTCCTATGCTCACTACCACTCTCCCTCAAGTAAGTCATCTTCCTTTCTGACAATCGTTCCACTCCTGAGATGACACAGCTCTCCCATCCAAAGCAGTCATGGAGAAAGAAAAGTTGAGAAATTGGGTATGTACACAAGAATGATAGCATTTTCTCCTGGGGTTTATAAATTTAGATTAATAATGGCCTAACTTTTGTTCTTGCCACTCAAGATTATCCCCACATCTCCAAAGATCCTGGCCCATGCCACACCTGGAACCAATATGGTCTTCCAAAATTCCATAACTCTGAGTTATATAATTTCCTAGGTTGCCAGAAGGTTTGAGGTGGTTGATGAGGAGGAGGACAACGGGAGGATGGCACAAGCAGAGATCCCAGAAGTAAAAAAGGATGTCGTCCCTCATGTGCCTCAGTTTCCTCATCTGTAAAACAGGGATAGTCACAGCCATCTGCCTTGGTGGATCTTTATAGATTTTAATAATATATGTAAAGCACTGAGAACAGTACCTGGCACATTGCAAGTATATATGTGTGGGAGTTTTTATTTCTGATAGTACTAACAGCACATGGGTGTCTCTGACCAGCATCCATAGCAATTCCAAATTCAAAAGCTCCAGTACCTCTTCTGCCCCTAGGTAAGGGCCCCAAGGCCGTCCTTGGAGGGAAGAGTAGGGAGAACTAGACCTCTCTGCCTCAAGGTGTGGCATCTCAACTCACCTTTGGCCTTTTCCCAGGCAGCCTGTTTACAGCTCTACTTTCTAGTTTAATAGGTACTGGCCAGAGCCATGGTATCCTGCTAAAGCTGCAAATAGTTCTTGAGCTCCAGGATAATTATATGTTTCTTAGAAAAGAGCAGAGAGAAGAGCTGCCACACTGGGTTGGCAGGGCTCCTGGTTTTGAGTGTGCAGAGACTTTCTATGGAAGGAATGGGTGTAGGAGGGGAGGCAAGAGAGGAAAGAGACAGCCCTAGTTTGTGAAAAACAATAGTGTCCGGTCAGAACAGACTTGATGAAGGGACTTGTCTGAAAAAGAGAGAAGAAGCTTTAATTTGCGGTGATCTCTGTGACATCATTCACAACTGCAGTGATGGAGATGGGTCTATTTATAGGCCACATGGGTGGAAAATGGCATCTTTCTTCATTCAAACTAAGAACTCATGCTGGGATTAGCCTTATTTTTTATCTGACCCATGAGCACTTCCTTTATTTTAGAATCCGCCCTTTTGATTGAATTTTAAAGGGCTAAATTTAAGGTTAAACAGACGAACTCTTGAGATTTCTGTGCCAAAATTCCAAGTTGGAAAACGCTTGTTTGTCTCTAGGATCTCCCAGTCATGACTGGCTGGTGAGTTCCTGCACACTTTGGCTAATGCGGTTTCATATTCTGCTCATCCTAAAGATAAAAAGCCTCTCACCAAAATTCAGCAGATCATCAATTATTTGAGTAATATCTTCCTGATTTTTCTACCTTCTACTTAAGTATTCTCTTGTTTACTGACTCTTCTAGCAAGATTGGCAGTGTAGTGAATTTCTGGAAGGAAAATTCCACTTTACTCATCACTTTTAAAATTCAAGACATGTCATCATGAAGAAAACATACCCACATAGAAAACGTCTGCAGTAAATTAGGCACTCTACCGCTTGAGAATATTCTGTGGTACTTCATAACAAAATCTCCCTTCCGTTGTTAGATTCCTTCCTTTCTGCTGAACTCTTTCTTCTCTGATATTTTCTGCTGGGCCACAAGAATGTTATTCCTTACCCAGTAATCCCTTGGTTTCACATTTGACAACTCCTCAAACTTAGCTGCCTGCCTCAACTTTTAGGTATTGCAATTATGATGCATTATAGAGCTTGGCTGCAATGTTATACTCTACCAGTAGGTGTCTTCATTTCACCGCTAAATGGCCCAAAGCCTGGTTTGATCTGGTAGATTAAACAAATGAACTGTTTTAATCAGTTTTGGTAAGTTGAATGCTCTGAGTAAAATGAAAGCAAATTGCTCTGAAAGAACTGGTGCTGAAAAATCAACTCCTTGCACTCTTCTGTGAACCACTTCATGGCAGAGAACTACAGTCTAAACACTACTGCCATGGAAAAATAGCAAGATTGTAGTCTGGACCTGGCTGGGAGCGAGTCTTGCAGGAAGTGCCAGCCCTGAGCCCCGTGCCAGTCCCTACTCTGCCTCAGCCAGCCCAGCGTCCCAGCCCAGAGCTCTCGGCCCTCCTCATTTCCTGGCTTCTTGTCTTGCTCACAGCAAATCCCGTGATTCCCTGATTCTGTCGTTCTGTTGCTGCTCATAGTTTTGCCAGATCCCATTGGCAGACAGACTGAGAGAGTTAGTGCAGAAATGAGTAGACCAGGGCATCCGTCAGAATCCCAAGAACTGTATGTGGCACAACTGTGCCACCATCTGGTGTGGAAACTGGCTGGCAGGAATTGAACTTTGTGGACAGTAACCCATCTTAAGACCCTCACTTGACCAAAGCCTCAGCAAGGAGTCACCCATAAGATGGACAGGTGCCCATACCATGTACTCCCAAGAAGAGGCGGGAGCCTGTGCAGAGCAGGAAGGGTTTCTAGAAGTCTCCACCCGTCCTTGTTCATTCATTCCACAAATGTCTGTTGAGCACCTGTGCTGGATGCAGAGTGAGCAAGACGAACACAGTCATCCATTCAATATTCATTAAGTACCTACTGTGTGCCTTGCAGTGCTCTAGGACCCCAGGTGGGAAATATTCTTACAGCCTGGTAGAAAAGACAGCTGTATAAACAAGATAAAATGTGAGGGAAGGCATTTTAGCTCTTCCTACAGTAGGAGTCATTTAAAGCTGAGTTTCAAAATGTTCATTCTTTCATTCAAATATGTACTGAGCTCTCACAGCTGCTGTCCATGTTCTAGGCCAAAAGTTGACAAACTTTTTCTCTAAAGGACCAGGTAGTAAATATTTTAGGTATTGTAGACCATGTGCAGTCTCTGTCATCAATAATAATTCTTTCTCATTCTTTCCTTAAACTTCTTTTTTATGTTTGTTTGGGTTTTTTTGTTTTGTTTTGAGTCAGAGTCTCACTTTGTATCTGTCTCTCTGTCACCCAGACTGGAGTGCGGTGACACAATCACGGCTCATGGAAACCTCTACCTCCTGGGCTCAGGCAAACCTTCCATCTCAGCCTCCCAAGTAGCAGGGACTCCAGGCATGTGCCACCATACTCGGCTAATTTTTTAAATTTTTTGTAAAGATAGGGTTGCACTATGTTGCCCAGGCTGGTTTCAAACTCCTGGGCTCAAGCAGTCCTCCATTCTTGTCCTCCCAAAGTGATGGGATTACAGTGTGAGCCACCATGCCCAACCTTTCCTTCTCCTCCATAATAACTCTATAAAAAAAAGTTTTGTTTTGTTTTGTTTTTGAGTTGGAGTCTCACTGTCGTCTAGATTGGAGTACAGTGGTATGCTCACAGTCACCACAGCCTTGACCTGCTGGGATCAGGTGATCCTTCTGCCTCAGCCTTCCACGTAACTGGAACCACAGGCACATGCCACCATGCCCGGCTAATTTTTTGATTTATTGTAGAAACGAGGTCTCGCCAAGTTGCCTGGGCTGATCTTGAACCCCTGGACTCAGGAAATTCTCTCACCTCCACCTCCTAAAGTGCTGTGATTACAGGCATGAGCCACCGCATCTGGCCAAAAATAGCATTCTTAACTCCCTCACACTAGAGCACATCACAGCCTTTGAGCCTTTTGGCCATGTGAGTGCAGCCGTAGACAAGAGACTGTCCGTGCCCTCATGGGACTTCTAGTCTAGATAGAAACATGGACAACAAGGAGTCAAGTAAGTATGCAAAATCTATGATGACAATGCTTTTTTAAGCCCTCTGCAAGAAATGAATCCAGGTGAGACAGTGCCAGGCAGTTGGGGAAGGCTCACTGACCAGATGCTGCTTGAGCCAGGAACCTGGAGGAGAGGGGAGGAGATGCCAGCGCTTAGTAACCAAAGGTATACAGGGGAATGAGGTTTGGCTGCAAGGGGCAGAAAATCCCAAATAATTGTGGCTCAAACCATGTAACGTTGTTTTCCTCTTAGTTCAAGCCCCTCAGGTTGTCCAGGAGGGAGATAACACCCAATGGTCACAGGGACCCAGTGCTCCTGTCCTGCTGCTCTGCTCTACACAGCCAACTCTGTGGCGGAAAGCCCTGCTGTATAGCTGTTGCCAATTTCCATGATGTAAATATAAATACTCCCACCTTGGCCAATTTCGAGTTCCCAGCGATATGCCACCTAACAGAACTAGGAAAAGACATGCGAGCTGGGCTCGGTGGCTTAGTGGCTCAGTCTGTAATCCTGTGCTTTGGGAGGCTGAGGTGAGTGGATTGCCTGAGCCCGCAGGCTTGAGACCCACCTGGGCAACTTGGTGAGACCTCATCTCTACAATAAATCAAAAAAATTAGCTGGGCGTGGTAGTGTGCACCTTTAGTTCGAGCTACTTGGAAGGCTGAGGTGGAAGGATCACCAGAGCCCAGCAGGTCGAGGC